TGGGGGCCTTTTTAAAATTTCAAAAAATATTGAGAAAAAAATAATATATTCAAATTTTGTCTACAGGTGCAGTAATCATACATTTACTTAGCTCTACTTCAGCCGTACGTGGTTGGGACTGAGGTAAAAAAGAAATATAAAATAGTACCTGGATGGGAAGACACTTTTATATACAGTAGTAAAATTCATCATCATCACATCACCAGGCAAAATAAAGCGTCAACAAAATTTTCATGATCTCTTATTAACGATTTTCGGCAAACATAGAGATCTAATTAATACTGTACATATGATGTAAAATTAATTATCATTGATCGTATGTTTCGAGGTAAAAAAGAAATATAAAATAGTACCTAGATGGGAGGACACTTTCATATACAGTAGTAAAATTCATCATCATCACATCACCAGACAAAATAAAGCGTCAACAAATTTTTCACGATCTCTTATTAACGATTTTCGGCAAACATAGAGATCTAATTAATACTGTACATATGATGTAAAATTAATTATCATTGATCGTATGTTTCTTTGTTGTTTATGTACTTTTGTTGCCATGAGAAAAACTAATTTCATATTTGAATTTGACAATAAACCTGTCTTGTATCTAATATGAATCGCTGCGATAGAAATATAACAACATAATTGTCTTCGATTTATCTACTTTACCTACTTCATGAGCCGAAAACCAATTTATCTTTACACACTTTTTATCATACTTGTATAATAAAGGCACGCACTCGAGTCGTGTATTACAGTTAATTCAGATGTTTGTGGACAGAAAACACCGACCGGAATCTTGTTATAAAATAAGATGTTATCTGCCTGTAAAGTGGTCTTTCGTTAAAATCTGGTCATTTATGCAGTTCAATTCTACAATTTCCAGGAATATTCTTGACTTCCTTAGGAACTTGATGGGGACCACCCCCTTAGAATAGTTGGGGTACGTGTCGCCTGTCACCCCCGTCCATGCTATTCACCAGAAGACAAGGCATTATACAGGCATTATACAGTAATTCGGCACCAAATCCTGAATTTACGTGATTTCCAACATTTTTTTGAAGAGAGTAGAATAGTAGGCCTATTTCAAATAAATCAATTATCAGTCATTATTATACTTTTTAAAATATCAACAATTATTTTACACTATTTGCAAATAAATTTGTTTTATTGTATTAGCTATAAAATTTTAATTGGTGTTTTTAGGTAAGAAAATATAATAATAGGCCTATTCCTATATAGGGCCTATTGATGTAAGATCACATACTTTTTTTTCCGGCTCCTGAGTCTGAGCTGGGCCGGCACACACTGGGCAGGCCTAACTATTTGTCAATTAATCGTACCTATCATTGTATTTAAAATTAAAATTGAATTATTGTTGTAGATCCATCTACCCTGAAATTAAAGCCCCATTCCCGGCAAAATTTCAGTTTTTAAGAAAAATCTAATTTTTGTATAATGTTAGAAAGATTTATAAATATAATACAGAATTGCTAGTTTAACTGAATTTAGACATTCCTAAGAATGAAAAAAATGTAAAATAAGACTGAAATTTGATTTTTTTTTTTTTGTGTTCCACACAAAAAATATATGCGGATGAATTTTTCATTTTGATTTTGCGATAGGTCGTGAAATGAAATATCGTAGGCGCCGAAAACATTAGCCTATCCAGCGCTGCTAGGCTAGGCCTAGCCTTACCTCGATATAGGTTCTGTTATCACACATAAAAACGGCCCGACATGATATTTTCCGTTGCTAGTATTGACACTTGTGAAAAATAATATTTCATAGGAATTATTTCAAATTTGTTAAAAAACTCATTCTGACTGAGATTTTGACACTTAAACAAACATATCTCAGCCTTAATCGAACGACCGCATTGTGCGAGATACGAAGTAAAAAAACTAATCTCATTAGAGAGGGCGTACTTTATTGACTGTATAAAAGTATACATAAAAGCGAGAGTATTCCAGTGGATGCGATCTACAACCTCTGAATTTGCCTAGTAACGATGAATCTTCCAGAAAATGGTAGTATTTTATGAGAAATAGTCTGTATTTCTCATTTTTTTTTTCCATCTACCCTGAAATTAAATATTAAAGAGGTTATAATATCTAACAATTTCCGTGTTTACATTCTGGGACGTGAAGACGTGACGTACGTACGAACTTGCGTACGTACGTACGTGTGTTGCGTAAATGAGTACGCGCAGACTGTTGAAGGTATGTTAACCAATCAAAAGCGTCAGCGGCAAATCAAATTAAAGCGCTTCGTAATCAAGGCACAGCACACACATCCTAGGCACGGCGTATAAGCCCAGTGAAATAGTTCAGTTTTCTTTGCTATAAAAATCACCTTTCCCGTGGGTATATTTTGGTAAACTTTTTGTATGTTGTAGATATAAAATTTAACTATATATATTCATAAAAAAACGTTTTGTTGCAATTATGTCCAACTTTGGTGCTTCAAATCCGTATTTCTGGTGGACTATCTTGGTCATCTTCGATTACGAAGGACGAACTACTACCATGGCAAGGAGATTGTGCAACCCTTAATTCATATTAAGAGAATTTACGCCCAGAAACCTTGTAGTTATTAATATTTTGGTTATAATAGAAAATATTCATTTTTGGTGACGTCACACTCACAATATAGTTGGCATGCATACGTCATAAGCTAGATTATGTCACCTTTTCCTGGTAAGGCAAACTTTCCCGGCGTGCTTTTTTCATGGATAAACAAACACCACTGCTTTGCACATGGATGCCTTGCCCAAGCCAGGGCTACAAAAGCCGCATTGTTAGCATTGTATAATACTTAAATAAGGTACCTCTGCAAATGAATTATTCTTAGTTATTTTTTTTTTCTTATTTTATTTCTTTCGAAAGTGTACTTTCTATCACATATTATTGCACTGTCTAGTGAGGCCTGGGCCTAGTCTTATTATTATGCCTCATCGTCCCCCGCTACACAGTACATCAGTAGCTGCCCCCCCCCCCCATACAGTACAGACGTTTGCTAGGCAACAACGTGATTGCACCTTTCTTCCCAGGTGTTCTTTTAACATTGGCATATTTTTAGCTAACAGTTGTGTGTATTTCTTTGTGAAAATGAGTACCGCGGTACACAAAGCATTTTCCACCTCTTGGAAAGAGGAAATTTCGAAATAATTGTCTCCATTCGCTAATTAAATTAATCACCGTAATTTAGCTTAACACTTATGAATTTAGGGAGCACTTAAAATGTACAATAATCATTTCATTATCCGACAAACTCCGAACTTTATTCATGCATTAGGCCTACATAATAGTTCCATCTTCCTGTACTATGTACTCCAACATTACTGGCGCATGGTAACAACCAATTGACTGCAGACCATTACACATTACTCTCCATAACACAGCACCCCCTAGTTCCGTCACCTCTGGATTTGGAGTCTAGTATATTATTTCCTATTATCTTTAGGAGCCTTTGTTCTAGCGTGCACTCTGTCAGCGTTCGACATTCACGACGTCACTCGCTCTTCGTGTAGATCTGCGCTACTAATTGATTCAAGCATGTTAAAGAATGAGTAACGAAATCACAAAAAAAAGAAAAAAAATATTTAAAAACAATTATCGTATAAACTACCTTAGCACTGTGTTTGACTATATCCATTTTGGCTAGAGTATAGCATGTTATAGAATGAACAACAAAATCACAAAAAAAATCCCATTAAAACTACAATCGTGGTATACAGCAGTTCAGCACTGTGTTTAACTATATCCACTTTGGCTAGAGTCAAGCATGTTAACCCATTGACCCCTAAGGATTTAAAAATGATTTTTAATTAGTACCATAACAAAATCATCAAAAAAAAAAAAAAAAAAAGGGGGCATGAAAAAAAAAAAAAAAAAGGGGCATGAAAATAATTGTGATATAAAGCACTTTTGCACTGTGTTTGACTATATCCACTCTGGCTAGATGCAAGCATGTTAAAGAATGTGTAACAAAATCGCAAAAAAAAATAAAAAATATGAAAAACAATTAAGTATAAACTACTTTAGCACTAGGTTTGACTATATCCAATTTGGCTAGAGTTAAGCATGTTAAAAAATGAGTAACAAAATCACAAAAAACCAATTAAAAACAATTGTGGTAAAAAGCAGTTTAGCACTGTGTTTAACTATATTCATTTTGGCTAAATTCAAGCATGTTAAGGAATGCGTAACAAAAATCCTTGAAGTGTGTCACTTTCCCCGCATCGCAACGTTTTCTCGGCGGCCAACGCACTTATGAACGTATAGAGAAAATCTTAGTAACGTAGGCCTGGGGCTATTTTCAATGTAATCTCATCAGTATCTAAGTGTAGAATGGAACCAGAAATGCATCGACCTACTGATGTAGAACTACTACTTTATTTATTGTAGAGTACCGTTTTTTTTTTGGTTTTTTTGGGGTTTTTTTTTTTCATTGTACAGTATCGCAAAAACTAGAGCAGTCTCAAAATCAAAAATCTTTCAACTTATATTTTGACTCCTTTTGAATTTATTTTTAGGATTCAAATCTGTATCATGACATAGGGCCTGCTAATTATTGAGTCGTTTACTCTATTCATGATACATGCATCCAAACAAAAACACTATTTAACAAACGGCGGTCTGACTGAGATTATAGTACACTGCATGCAGGCACGCAAATTGAA